GTTAACAGATTGAAAATTTGTCGGGTGTTTAATTACTGTACAAAATTTCAGACAATTTGGTTTAGTTTAAGCCCTTTAACTATTCATTTTGTTCTAACTGTCAGCCTTTCGCATGCTTAATTAATGCCTTTACCTAATTTGCATATTGCTGACATATGCAAATTAGTTAAGCATGCAAATAGCTGATTTTTTGGGAAAATTGTAACTTTGCGTAAATAGTTAAGGGGCTTAAACTAAACCAAATTGTCTGAAATTTTGTACAGTAATTAAAATCTCGACAAATTTTCCATCTGTTAACTCAAAATATGATTGCAGCTTTTAAATTTTGTGCGCGAGCCATTTTTAGTTTGTTGGAAAAGACACCCCCCCCCCTGGTTCACAAAATTTGAGTTCGAGAAATCTTTCTCATTATTCTACATTATAAGTAGCTGTTTTGCGAAATTGAGAGCAATTTTAAATCTGTTCAGTTTTTTTTTGTACACCCTGATATTTGAAGTAACAATAACAACTATGATCTTGGAAAACCTGAAACAAATTTTATGAAAAAGAGCTTCAGTTATTCAGCTGCATCCCTTTGGAATGACTTATCAATTACGGCAAAAGAAAAAGGCCCTGATTAGCCTTAACAAATTTAATTAAACGTATTCTTGACGGCTCTTGATTCCTTTTGGTAACTTTGTAAATATTTAAATAGGATAGGATATTTTTAGGAACAAATGTAGTGCATGCAATTATTAAGTTCGTTATGTTTTCTCTGTTTTTGTGTGTATATTTGTGTTATTATATTTATATAGCTTGTAAACACTGTAATAAACGGCCTCTTGAAAAACAGGTGCCTACGAGCCCTGAAGAGCTACCGTTTTAAAATATTTTTAAATAATAATAATAATAATATAAGCGCACTGCACAAGACAAAGAAAAATTCCGCTCCGCGCGCAAATAAGGCTGACTTTGTGCAACCATAATCATAGAGACGACATGTCTTCTGGATTGTCTATGCAGATGCAACACATCTAACGTCGCTATATAAGCTTTCAGTCTTTCACGAGCTGGAAGACATGATAATGCCCAGGGCCGCCGAGAGCTTGGCGGGGGCCCGGGGCAAAAAAATTTTTAGGGGCCCTTATTGCAAAAAAATGTTCCGGAAAAAATTTTTTCGGACAATAAATTCTTTTTAGGTGCGTTATAATTGCTTTCGTTGGACTTTTCCGCAATTTTCCATACCAAATTTCGGTTCATTGCCCCCAAAACACAAATATTTTGGCCCGAAAACAGAAATATTTCGCCCGAAAAAATGACTGGGGCCCATTAAATTTCTAACATTAAATTTCTAGGGGCCCCCAGAGC